CGTGGTAAGGTCCAACCATGCAAAATAGGATTTTTGGCAATTTTTCAAGTAGTCTTAAACTTTTGATCGGGACTGTGTTACTTGTACGTGTAATGCCATTCCATTGTGGAAACTCATTATTATTTTGTGAACAACCTGAAAAGCTGCTTAAACCTGCATGTTTTTATTTTATCTGGATTTTTGAAAATGATCTGAAGGTGTTCACATGAAGACAAATGGGCTTCTTTGACTCTCTCGTATTCCAGTCAGACAAAGCTCCTCGGATGAGAAGTGAAGCATTGGAGAAGTCCAGTTGCCTTCATTTGAACCTCTTCGGATAACCATTACCTGGATGACCGAGAACCTTCACACACAAATTTTTAAAGATTGTTTATTTTTTAACAATTTGTAACAAAAGTCATTAAGCATCATCGTAGATAGTCTAAAGAGCCACTTGTGGCTCCAGAGCCGCAGGAGCAGACCCCTGGTCTATGCATTGAGCTTTGGGCATAAGGTTGAACCATCATTCGGTTTAAACACTTTCTTATCTATTATCCAAAAAATGAACAAGTAAAAACATCTGTCAGCTGGGACTAGAGCCTATTTTATAACGGGGTAACATGTAATCGGGGATGCTCTGGCACACGTACTCACCTCAGTATCCTGACTCTCACTGTTCCAGCGAGGATTCAGGTGTGCAACACGTGCGCTCAGCGTGGTGGACACTGCGTAACGGGCCTCCCCTTCATACTGTGAGACGCCATTGTCTACTGCATCCACTTCCTCAACAAAGTTCTCGTACAGCTGCAGGGTGGCGAGAAAAAGAAAGGTAACATAACAGGCTGTGGACGTGGAATCAGAGTTTACATTGCTGTTGAACATAAAACATGTTAGCCTGGGAAATATATGCAGCGGGATTCAGACGTACCAAAAACCACATCTGTATTTTATGGTTAAATCATAAAAGGAGGAAAAGATGCAGAGAAAGAAGCGGAGACACATTTAGTACAGAGGAATCGACTCCTCCTCGGTACACGGGAAGGTCAATCACCAAAGAGCTGACATTTTACATGTCTTGCAAGAGAAACTAAGCTTCAGGGCAGAAAATGAGGCCCGCCATGTCTGAGCTAACTAGGTCATGAAAAGAACATGAAATAAATAAAGTCTGAGCGGCAAGTGGAAGGATTCCTTGCAGCTTTAAACCCACTGAAACGCCAAAAGGACAAAGATGATGTGAGGTTAATAGCATTAATATTTATGCTGACCAAAGATTTGGACGCTTTAAATTGCCTATCCCTTTTACAGCAGAGAGCAAATACCCTTTATGGCTCAGATGTCTGGAGGCATTGAAGTCATTAGTTTGTATATAGTCAAACATGCAGAATGCTGGAAACTAAACTGCAAAGAAAACAGAAGAAGAACGTTAAACTATGGAGGTTTTATTTTACAATTTAATGTAATCTCCTTAGTAACTGATTACTTTTAATAACTTGAATCTTCAGGAAATCTGCATCTTTCACATGGAGCTCATCAGTTAAGAAAATCTGTTTTAATTTAAAGTTTTTAAGGAAAATGTTTCGATATCTTTTACCGTTTAGTAAATAAAACAGAATCCCTCTTGATACACAAGCTGACAGAAATCTGTTACCTTTCTCGGCTCACCTTATCATAAAGAGCCTCCAACTGTCTGTCATCTTCTTTCAGCTGCGTCAGCTGGGCCAGCAGGCGACGGCCAAAGTGGAGGTAGACCAATCCAGCGGAGCTGAGCTTTGTTACCCACTGCTTCTCTGGACACAGACTGTGGAATGTTTCAGAAAATGTCCTGAAGAAATAAAATAAATAAAAGACAAACGTTATTTATGGTTCTGACAAATAACGAGGTTAAACCAGGACAGTCTTATTCACAAAAGTAGTTTGGCTTGAAAACTTCATTTGGGTTATTGAAATTATTTAAAGTGTGTGTGTGTGTGTGTGTGTGTGTGTGTGTGTGCGGGGGGGGGGGGGGGGGGGGATGATGGAACGTTTCGCTACTGTGTGTCTCCGGGGGGGGTAGCCATGGCACAGTGTCACTCCTGAGCCTATAGGGGACACACTGTTTATTTTTCGGTATCAGCAAATATCAGTTATCGGCCAAAACAATGACATTAATATCAGATATCGGTATCAGATATAACGGCCGGCCGATGTATTACATTTTTTCTATATCAGTCAATATTATTTTTCAAAGTTAATAACAAATTGTTTTCTTTATCAGGCACCTAGGTGGCCAGCTGCCACCACTAATAGACTGATGAAAGGACCCAAAAGACCCCAACACACCATTTTTTAAATTTTGAGTTTGTTTCATATTTGAATTTCAATAAATATTACGAGATTTATTGATTTATTTATATTGCACACAGTGAATTTTCAGTTGCCTTCTACAATCAATGTGCAGCTAAAACGTGTATATATCGGCCTTAATAATCGGCTTTACATATCGGCAACAAAACTCTTAAAAATCAGTATCAGCATCGGCCTTAAAAAGATCCCATATCGACCGGGCTCTAATTATCATTTATATTTTCCGTTTTTCTCTCAGCACCAACACAGCATGGCCTGGAAGGAAATAACCAGTCCACACACACACGCACACACACAAACACACGCACACACACAAACACACACGCCTGTGTAAATAATTCTTATAGACACAAAAAAGTTAACATTTAGGAGTTAGTGATTTTCAAGGGTATAGCTAAATGTTTTTACTTATTTATTAAAACAATCCATTGAAATATTTAATAATATTAACTTTCATTTTGTGTGTGCGTGTGCGTGTGTGTGCGTGTGCGCGCGCGCGCGTGTGTGTGTGTGTGTGTGTGTGTGTGTGTGTGTGTGTGTGTGTGTGTGTGTGTGTGTGTGTGTGTGTGTACAGCTAACCTATCCCAGAAATGGCACATTCACTAATCTTCTGAAAACCAATGGTCCATGTTAGGACCAAGACCCAATCCTAAGACGATGGACTCGCTGTTTTAGGCTTAGGGGTGAGGTTTATACATAAGATGTGAATTGAGTTTTTATTACAGTTAAGTTTGGGAATAATACACTGTTAGGGTTGGGGGTTAGGGGAATGGGGGTAAGTACCACTTGACAATTGAGGGTCTTTCTGGTTCTGAACCACTCAGAGCCACCATTCAACTTTTGCAGGACTCGGGGGGACTGGCCGGAGGTGGGGGTAACAAAGACCCTAAGATTGGCGCAAAGCATCATGGGTAAAAACAATCAAACATCACTCACGGCCAAGGAAGTGGGGTCTTAGCTTAGCCACTGCGGCTACCCCCCCCCCCCCCCCCCCCCCCCCCCCCATTTGTGGCCATGCCCGATCCAACGGTACCACCCCCGAGTCTCTACGACCTTCCGTTCCGGAGATATCCGCCATTGAAGTCGTCCCATTGAAACGAATGGGAGCCGGGTGACTGAAAAATTTCTAAGTGCCAGAGGCCAAATCCTTCTCCCAGAAACCTCATAGGTGCACGTTTCAGAGCATTTGGAGTCCAATGGTACCTACTTTGGGTTAGGCATAAATGCAGCTACTAAAATGAATGGAAGTCAATACAAAGTCCTAATATGGACAGATATACAAGATTGTGTGTGCTTTGTTGGGAGGGCTCCAGTGCCGCTGGTCAAAACATTCAGCCATAATTAGGAAGCTCAACTACAGCCGAGTGGAAAACAAACCGTTAAATGAATGAGTGACATACTGGGATGGTGGGGGGTAATCACGGCCATTAAAGAGGCTAATTGGCTGAGCTACGGCATTTCTACACGGATAATCAGGATACAGAAGCAGACGAGAGAGAGAGAGTGAGACATCACAGACTCAAATGGAGAATTTTCAAGCATGTTTCTAATAGCCAAACAGAAATCTGAGGATCTGTAGCCATGACATCAGTTAGAACACCGTCACCTCTGCTTCATTTTTGCACATATAATTTTCTTGTTAAAAACTTTTAAATGAAAAGGCAGCAAATATTTCAACACATAGTAAAAGTCTATTGATGCTTACATTTGAGAGGAGTTTGTATTTTTTAAAGTTTGCATGAAATGTAAAGCTTGAGATTAAGGATAATTTGTGTGTTTGATCCGTCTTCAATCCATCACGGAAGGTTCTCTTTAAAAACTCAGCAGGGTTGGAAATGAAAATTCAAGCCAATTTCTGGTTTCCCCCTCCCCCCCCTGCAGATATAAGAAGCACTGAAATGCTTTTAACACATAAAAGGAAAAGGAAGAAGCGGGTTTTCCTCGTTTTTCACTAAGAGAAAACTGAAACCAGCAGGAACTCGAGAACAAAAGCTTTAAATTGATCCGCTAACTTGTGCTCCCATCAGCTGCAGATGCCTAACCGTTCTTTTCTGCTCCTTCTTCAACTTCCTCTAGTTTCTAACTCACTTGCATCCTTCCCTTCTATCTCAGTCATCGGTGCATGTGAGTGAGCGACAGTGACATTCTCCTGTGGCCTCTGATGGTGTCACAGCAGCTTCTGTGGCTCGTGCACAACCAGCACGGGTGGTGGTGCTCCATTGAAAGAGCGCTAATTATAACTAACCGCCTGCCAGGAAGAGAACTGTGACATATCTCAGTCACGGTGGCCACGAAGACTTTTTCTGGTTATCAGTGGGACATTTAGCTCACAAGACACCTGGAATGGGCAGATTACTCCAACGTGACAAGACTTCCAGTGTAACCATTCCAAGGAGGTTGTGCTTGGGAAACATGGAAACGGTTTGTTTATGTTTCATACAGCAAAGGCACGTTGATATTTACAAATCAGGAGTCCAAGGGGGAAAAGTATTGTCACATCTTTGAACATTAGAGAGGTTAAAGTACCTCTAGTTATTATATCTTAATACTAAAAAGAGACAATGACAGTTTTCTCATATGATTATGTCAGTGCCGAAAAGGTCCTGGTGTAATAAATGAGACTAATTAAGGTGTCTGGATCAATGAGCCTGTTGGGAATATTAAATTACACCTGTTATCAGAAGCTTCATGTCAAAACATCTGACCTGAAAGAAACAACTTGTAATAAATCACCATGTTTCAAACACACACACATTCAAAAAAGGAATCTAATAAACTGGCCTAACTGTCAACAGGATGGTAACACTAATAAATACATACAGAAGGAGAATTTTAGAAGATCAGGAAAGAAATGGAGGGATATGGATTTTTTTAAATCAAAAATATTTAACATTACTAAGATTTCGAGAAATTATCTGTACACAATATCAAATGTCAAGATTTTCTGCTTCTTTAAGAGGTATTGCAGAAGAACAATGAAATGAAGTTGCAGATATCCTCAAGTGTGTTTAGTGATACTTGTAAAAACTGTTAGTTGATTGAATATTGGTTTAAAATCCATCACTGTTAATCAATAAACTGGATTATCACTGCAGCCCAAGATTAATAGGAAATACCAAGTACTACTAATAATAAGTTCAGCTACCTCTGATGATGGTCATAGCGATGTCTCTTTGGGTCAAATTCTCCTCCCACATCGACAACAATGTCACATTCAGCCAAGAGAGCCGAGTCCCTGGTCCGAACAATGTCAGCATCCTGAAGAAATAAATGAAAAAAATTTCCTGATTTGATTGTGTGCACTAGGGGGGTTTGTGTATGCAAACAATATCACTATTGTTAATGTGACTGTAACTGCAGACCTAAACCCATTTCAATATTGACTCATTTATTTTCATTATTATATTTAGAATATTAATAATGTCATCTGCCTCTTATGCTACTGGTAAATGATTTTGTTGTCATATACATATTATCGATGTAAGAAAACATCATATGGCAATATATTGTGATATTTTTTCCAGCGATATATCGATAATCAAAAGCTGTGTATCTAATTCTTGGAAGAATTTACATGCAAACATTTGTGTTTTTGCTTTTCTTTTGGTGCAGTTCAAATGCTGACCGCTAGTTGGGAGCAATGTGCAATGGGTTTGGTTTCCATCATTGAAATGTAAAACCATTTATTATGGTTCAGATACATCATGTTAAACATGTTAAGTGTCAGTTTGGACTGTTTATTGAATTTTCCTATAATTAATTCAGTCTAAAAAAATCGCTAATATGGTCTGACTGAATGTATGTACATATTGTATGTATGTACATACATACATATATGCATGCATGCATACATATATTATGTGTGTGTGTGTGTGTGTGTGTGTGTGTGTGTGTGTGTGTGTGTGTGTGTGTGTGTGTGTGTGTGTGTGTGTCTACTCAACATATGAGAAATGCAGTGTATTTTTTGCACCTACCAAGTACTCCGGTAGCTGCTGGAGGAAGAAACAAGCCAAGCCATATATATATATATATATATATATATATATATATATATATATATATATATATATATATGTACATATATATATATATATATATATATATATATATATATATATATATATATATATATATATATATATATATATATTTATAGTATCTTCTCCCCGGTGTCGTGAAAAGTATCGAATTGCAATAATTTCACCAATACACATCCCTAATACATATACAAGTATCTATCATATCTTTTTTAAATTTTTATTTAGAATATAATTGTATCATTTTAATCTTAAAAAAAATTTATTCGAGGCGTTTAAAAGAAGAATTTCTTAAAGAGTCTGGAGAACTACATTGGTTAGAAAAGATTACAACAAATATAAAATTGAAAGAAGAAAATTAGGGCCGAGTTAAATTTTTGGATTATGGATAAAAATTTAATTCAGTGGCAAATGTCTATTTTTTAACCCAATAAATAAAGGCTGAGTATCATTAAAAAAATACCACATAGGACCATTTAAGTGGATATTGAATCTGACTAAATGACCTTTTCTGTGGCATTTGCTTCTAAAGAGCACACATCAGGTTTCTTCGCTTGATTGATTCGGATTTCTGTGCAACACCACCCCCTTTTGATCAATGAACGTATGACAGGTAGCAGTGACGAAAATAAAAGGACAAAGTTAAGGCGATTGATTCATTTTTTTTTCAAGAATAAAGATTTTAGCATCATGAAAATTGCGAAGGTTTCATAAAGCTGATACATGTGTGAACTTGTGTTTCCACTCAACATATGAGAAATGCAGTGTATTTTTTTGCACCTACCGCGTACTCCGGTAATTGCTGGAGGAAGAAACAAGCCAAAACTTCATCGCAGTGAAAGGTTCCGTTGTGTGTTCCGATCTTTTTAAAGGTCATGTTATCAGTCTCTGTTCGGATTCTTTTCGGTGAACTTGACATGAATCGTTTCCCTGAACGAAAATAGTCTACAGAGCACAGATAAAACCAGCTAGCTTGTGAAAATAGTCGCTGTGAGTTACACACTGGTATCTTAGTGGCTGTGGAGGGGTTAACCTTTGATACCCGAAATGCAACCACGAACCCACGCCACATCCATGCAGCAAAAGAGACGTCCACAATGAAGACCGATGGCGGACGGATTTGGCAGACGGACCGGATGAATGTGACAGCCGGACCGGATATGGTGCGTTTGTCAAGCAAACTGGAGATTCCTTAACAAGAAGCTTTTATTTTGCGTTTCTCTTGCTTACTTTTAAACATTTTGAACGATCGATGTCCTAAAAGTAATATTAATGAAAATTCTACCTAAGTAAACTCATGAACGAGTTATTTATTTTATTGTATTTATAAAATTTAACACTAGATGGTGGTATAAGACTAAAATAATAATATTAAATATGGAGAACCCAAATTATCATGCGAACCTAAACCTTTGGGTCTAAACTAAATTTAAAATTCCTAAATTACATTCAATAACACTCACCAAAACTGAATGACTGTGAATAGACTAAAACTATTAGAAATGTGTGATTTTTCTTTTTTACATATTAAGTTGTTTGTTTTTTGTTATTTTCTTTCTTTTTTTCCCTACTTTCTATTGCTGGGATTATGGCTCAAGTTTCCAGCTGTTCACAACCAACTCTTAGAAATAATTACAGAAAATATGTTACATTTATTTTCTCAACAAAAATATTTTAGTCCAGATATCAAAGAAGCTTATATTCATTTAAACGACACAAATTTTGTTTTAATCTATTTGCTATTTTTTGTTTTGTTTTGTTTGTTTGTTTCTTTGTTTGTTTTTTAAGGCCAGAGCATGGGCCAGAGGCAAGTAACCAAAATTACTGAGTGTGTTGCTCAAGTCTCACCTTAAATCAAAGTCTCGTGGTGTTACCTTTATGGTTTATTGACGATGTAATTAATTAAGCAGATATGACCCTCTCTAATGATTGAAAGAACAGAGATAGTTTAAATTGTGCTCTATGAGTTTAATCAAATTGTCTTTTTAAACAAACCCGTTAGCCATAAAAGGTATTATTTGATTCTTCTGCATAGGATCGTTCATGACCATTGTTAATATCCTGTCTGGTGTTGAGTGACATTTCGTACTAAAATGTTGCATGTAACTGTGCAATTTCTATTTTCATTTTGTAAATAAATAATGTGCTAAAGGAGAAGACGTTTTGGGTTTATGGCCACCAGGAAGTGCTGTGCCTCACAGATCTGCTCCATCACAAATTATCTCGCCCCAGTCAGGTTGACAAGTCTTTATTTTAGCTTAATGAAATCAATAATCATTGATTTATTGTGAGGGAGTCCATTTTCCTGAGAGGTCTTAAAGTATCAGGTTTCTCATTGGAGGAGAAAATGCACTCAGATCAGTTATTTGTCCTCTAGTAACCAAATTGAAGCTTTAAACATTAGCTTTCTCATTTTAGTTACTTATATTCATTTGGTAAACCGATTTTTGACCCAAACAGGAGACTTCAAGTTAAAACAAGACTGCCTGATAGAAGAAAATAATTAAATGAACTCTTGTTAAAATAATGAGAGAAATAATAATCTGTTGTTTATTTAGGTCAAGAAAAAATATTTAAATTCTAAGGAAACTGTTTTTCTTCCCCCCAACTTTTTACTCTTAGTTTTTCCACAGTGAAATGAATGAATACCTTTAATTGTTGTATTCAAGCTATTATCAGCACCATGGACTGCACACACCCCAGTGATGCTCCATTTAGCTGCTGCTAACATTTGAGCACCACTTTTTCATTAATAACGTGTCTAGAAGTAAGAAAAGCAACAACTCAAACAAACAAATAAGAAGTATTTTTTCATTAGTGACGCACATTTATACAGGTTTCTATCTCCCCCGGTCAATCACATAATTATGAGCTTTTTGGGACTTTCGCTCCATCACAGTATCATATAAAATTATAATCATCTCTTTGCTGAACAAATTACTCTTAATACTGCTAATACGCCATCCGGTGAAGTGGGTAATTTGCATATCCCAGTATAATTGGACACTGGTATTCCTCAGGAATTCAAATTTGGGAAACAATGCTGTTCAGAAAAAATCTGACAAATTGCAGGTTATATTTTATTTTTGGGTGAACGGACAAAGGAAGAATGAAAGATTTGACTTGTCCTTAATCTTGACTAAATTAAAAGGGGTCATATCATGGAAAATCCACTTTTTGAAGCTTTTTACCATGTTGTGTTTACCATATTGTCATTTCCTTATGAGAAATACCCCCAACCCAGTTTTTGGCAGAATTCATGCATTTTCCTACCTCAGCTTCAATTTGATCCATATAAAGGTTTTTCCTGCATCCAGGGAAAAGTAGCCCACTTGCATCATCTCTTCACCACTTCATCATTTCCTCCTCTCACTGAATCTGGTCTGGTCTCTGTTCTGAAACGTAGATATTCTGACAAATAATTTCTGCATAGGGGACAAAACACTTCTGTTAAAACCATGGGTCCTGTCTACAAAGACAAACATAATTGCCAACTCAGAAGATGTGTGTTAGGTGACCATTGTTTTGTAACAGACTTGGTAGTACAGTGGTTAGTACGGTGGCCCTGAAGTGCAAACCACAAAAACAAATCACTTAATGCAACAATAAATTGAAACATGCAACAACAAATCACTTAATGCAAAAACAAATCACAAAACGCACAACAAATTGAAAAGCGCAACAACAAATTCACTAAACGCAAAACCAATTGTTGCATTTGGTTTATATTAATTACCTACATGATAATACTGTAGAAATGTGTTGTGTATGTTTAACAAGTTCATTCTGTAGCTTAAAACATACATGAAACCATCTAAAGTTAACATGTAAGTCCTGAAAGCTTCTAGAATAAACAAAGTTACTTTACCTGAAAACGGTTGTGAACAAACGCTGCTGATGGACGTGAAGCTGCTGTAGCTCCTTAATATTCCTGCTCGATTTTCGCTAGCTTTAGCATTTTTCCTTTGCGTGTAGCTGCCGCCACGGGCGGCTGTGACGGGACCTACGGGCCACCGTAGAGGTGAAGGCTAGACTGTCCGAATTCAGAGCCGCTGACTTCCGGTTTTAGCGGTCTGGCAAGGCCAGGTCCTTGCCAGACCGGCGAGGACCCGTACTCATAAGCATCCTGCCTGTGGATTCGGACACACCCGCTGACTGCTCTTTCACATAACCACATTCGGCAGAACAACTTCCGGTTCAAAAGGCCAGCGGATCCATCATCCAATCAGTGATGCCTGTTGTTGCAGCATTGGTACCTACCTTTTCCGGTTTGTGTTTTGTTTCTGTGGTTTTCAATTTGGTTTTGCGTTTAGTGAATTTGTTGTTGCGCTTTTCAATTTGTTGTGCATTTAGTGATTTGTTTTTGTGTTTAGTGAATTTGTTTTTGCGCTTTTCAATTTGTTGTGCGTTTTGTGATTTTTTTTTGCATTCAGTGACTTGTTGTTGCGTGTTTCAATTTGTTGTTGCATTATATGATTTGTTTTTGTGGTTTGCACTTCAGGGCCACCGTAGGTTAGAATGACAGACAGGCATGTTGTTTTGCTCAGGTTTGCCTCCTGGTTTTTTTAGGTGCACTTGCTAGTATGATGCTTTCAACCCATAACTGGTCAACAGTTTAAAATATAAGGACTAATATGTTTTATATTGTGTTTATTTTGCCAGTGTGAGTCCATGTGAAGTGAGCAGAGTAAATCAACTAAAATGCTGCTTTGAAATGACCAAATTCAAAGACCTTTACAGACACAAAATATGTTGTAGAATATAATCAGTAAAATAAATGATAAATTAATGAAATCTGCTTCAGCTGGCTAAATAAAATACTGCCGGCACCACCACAAGTCTAACCATCGTCAGCGCATGGCAAAATGCTTGTTTTGGTTTAGTGAGAGCAGTAGGAACTGTAATAGAATGTGTGAATGAAAAAAATGTCACACTGAAACTCAATATAAAGTTGTAAAACAGCAATGTGATGTTTCGGCGTATTAGCGAGAAACTGCAAAATTACACATTTTAGGAGGGAAGTAAACAAAGGTAGGCCTGTAGAGCACTCGTTTAATCAATATATTTGAATGCCTTGCAAGCCGTACTTGGGGCAAAAAAAGCCCAGAAGTGCCTGAATCAGCACGGACAAGTCTGCTGCAGCAGAGAGTGGCATAACAAGGAAGGATTTCGAGTCTTATTTCCTGGTATTTGGACTTCTTACCTCGAATAGCAATGCAACTTTACTACTATGTTTGCTCTGCGACATGGATGTTTTATCTCCACAAACAACACAAGCCTGGAGGAGTTTCTGCCGTGTGGTTGGGTTGCTATTGCTAACAGTTAGCATCTGCTAGCTGAGACGTTCTCTGCTGTTTCCTGGATGCTAAACCAACAACAGCCATCCCTTGTCCATGAATGCTAAGTGACAGTGTGACATAGATCTGTCAGGTTTTTCTACTCCTAGAGTTTCACCGTCTATTTTCTGTCAGAAGCTACTGGAGGAGATGGGTGTAGGAGACTTTTTCGTGTTATGCCTGCATGAAAATCTCAGAGTGACCAATTATAATCAGAAATAATCATTAAAAATGTTTTCCACACTTTTGATGAAAAACAAAATAAACTTCAGCGAGTTTCACAAAAAACAAGGAAAAGCTGCCTTTTTTCTGACTGAGAAAATATTGTATTAACAATTCAACTTTTACATAACATATTTTTTATTTATATTGTAGTGTTGCCATGAATTTCAGAGAATAAAATCAGTATTTGGTAAATCACACCAAGCTCTACTTGCATAAACAGAAAAAAACATCGACTACCTCCTCTCAAAGGTTCAGTGAGTCATGGTCACGACAAGAAAAAGCTTGGAGAAAATGTCAAGCCACAGGGTTGTTCTTTATTGACCAGCCAGAGGAGTGTCAGCCCACCATCCTGCTCCGCATTGGTTTACCTCAGACCATGAGATCCAGCTGTGGGGGGTGGCTGAAGAAACGTCACTGTGCATGTGACTTTTCCCCCCTGCTCTACTTCCAGTTTTACACAGCAATGATGGGAAATGACCCGGTACTACAGCTTTCCTTAAAAGGAAGAGCGAAGCAATCGAAAGTCAATTATGTGCTGCAGCGTAAGGGGACATCACTGAAGAGGCTGTTGTTTGTTGTA